GTTTTTTTTTTTTTTTTTTTTTTTTTTTTTTGTACCAGGGATCGAACTCAGGACCCTGAGCTTGCAAGGCAGGCGGCGGAACCACTGAGCTAAATCCCTGGCCCCCATTTGCCTATTCATCGTGTTCCAAGTCCATACTGCACCGTATCACCATCATCACCTCCATTTTACAAATGAGGAGACATCAAAGAGCCCGCCGAGGTAAGTGTGCACTTCGCTAGTTAGCAGAAGAGCTGGAAACGGAACTCGGGAGCTCGGCTTCACGTGCTTTCAAAAACCTTCTCAGGCTGAAATAGTTCAAAGAACAAACATTTTTGTCACCACCTCCAAGCAGCTTTGCACGTAGTCTTGGAAACAGGAAAAACAGCTGCTCCACATTGCGCATGCGCAGATAACCAAGCCCCCCCCCTAGAATCTCCAATTCCCCTATCTCACCACTAGAGGGCGCGACCCGATTTTTTGCCCCGGACCATCAACCAATCGTCCAAGGTGTACTCACTGTGCAGCTCAAAAGGAAGGTACAAAGTTCACTAAACCAGCCTCGGTGCAAGACTTCAAATATCTTCTGGAAAGAGAGACACCTCCTACTTCCTGACCAATTCCTCTCATCTCTGGAAGGCCTAAGAAGTCCCTCCTAAGTCTGACCCAGCCTAGTACAACCCAGGTTCTTTGTTCTTCGGTTTTTGGAAACAAGGAACAGATAAGTGTGTGGCATCCACATCGCAGCCACTGTTCAGAGACGCTTCTGAGAACAAGGTGTAGAGCTCTGAGGTCGTCGGCTTTTTGTTTCCCTTCTTTGCAAGTTACAGGCATCTCTGATCTCTCTCTGGTTTCTCTCTGTCCCTCAGAACCACAATGGACTTTGCCTCCAATATCTTAGCCAAGGTTAGATTTACTTCCTGGTTTTGGAATGTTACCCTGTTAATGTATCCAAGCAAGAAGCAATCACTTGGCACAGTGATTCGTCTGTATCAACTTGATGGTAGCAAGGCAATCGGTACAGAACAGACAATGATGCAATAGTACACAACATGCTTGGTATTTAAATTTTAATGCAAGGCAACAATGCACTTCTGCTTTGATTAAAGCTGCCAGGCTTAGATGAACAAAGTCTGGGAAGCAACAGAAAGATAAGAAACAACTGATTTGTTAGGTTTGGGGGATCAATTATTGTTTTTTCATTATTGGTATAATAATGAGGGCTTTAAGCAATGGGTAAAATCTTTTATTCACTCATAAATTAATGGAGCACATATCACAGGGCCAGGGATTTAGCTTCGTGGTTCTACTGCCTGCCTTGCAAGTGCAAGGACCCAAGTTCGATCCCCGGTACCAAACAAACAAACATATCATATGTAAGACAGTACCCTGCGTGGTGGTACATGCCCATAGTTCCAGCACTTTGAGAGGGTGAAGCAGGAGAAACACAGTTGGGTTTAATTCCAAGTATCACAAAACAAGCAAACTACGGGCTGAGTATTATAAAGAAGGCAAAATCAGCTACAGAGCCTGCTGTTCAGAGTAATAGTCATCCACATAGTAAAAGTGCTTACCACGTCATAGGTACTAGATATAATCTCTACTGTACTAAGAAAGTGAGAAACAGGGGCTGCAGGTTTAGCTCAGGGGCACCTCACCTGCCTGGCAAGCACAAGGTCCTGAGTTCAACCCCTATTATGAGGAGGAGGGGAGCAGAGAGGTTAACCAGCTTATCAAGGTCATACAGAATAAAAGCAGAACCAGAGTTGGAGCTCAGCCACTCCAGAGTGCAAGAACTCCATCATAACCATTACTCTGCCCTGCCTCTCAGGGTAGCCCAGTGAGATAGAGATAAGATACTTTCAATCATTCAGCAAATATTTATTGAGCTCCTACTACATTAGGCACCAGAATGTGCTGGAAATGCACTGCTCCGCAAGACAGCACAGCCCCTGCCCCCACAGAGCGCAGAGCCACAGTTACAGCATTATGGGAGTGCACAGGAGAAAAGAGAACGCCCCCTTATGAAGCTGTTTAGGAAAGCACCACTTCCCTACACTCTACATTCCCTTCCTAGCACAGCATCGATCTGGAGGGGAAAGGACAGAAGAGGAGGGAAACAGTACCAAAAGAAAAGTAATGAGAAATGCACTGATTCATCCAGCAAGCAACTGAAGAGATTTTAAAATAATGGAGGTGGGCATGGTGGTGCAGGCTTCTAATCCCAGCACTCAGGAAGCTAAGGCAGGAGAATTCCTGATTGTTTGAGGCCAGCCTGGGCTACACAGTAAGTTCAAGGCCAGCCTGAACTACCTAGCAAAACCCTGTCTCAAAAAGTTTTTAATTAAATTAAAAATAAAAAATAAGGATAGAGTCAGGCGAGGGGACCGGGATAGGCCTTGAAGGTCCTTGTCCTACAAAGACTCGCCTTTTATTCAAATAAACTGTGAGCACTAAGTGTTAAGCACTGAGCTAGACCTTGGAAACGCAAGTGGAAATAAGGCGGGGCCCTGTTCTCAAGGAGTTTCTAGTCTAATGGGACAGACAGACAATGAAGCAAGACATTCCAGCACCACAGGCCAAGGCCAGAGAGTAAAAGGAGGCCCAGAATGAGCCAGGGCACCATGCAGGGAGGAGCCAGTGAGAAGATGGCATCTATTCTGAGCAATGACCCAAGTCAGCAGGGCTTAGCATGTGGGGTGGGGCGAGGGAGCCATGCTGGGGGAACAACTTGTACATTGCTCTGGGAATGAGAGGAAGCTCTCAGCTCTCAGCACTGATGCTGGACTTTATAGAGTGGCTCCAATTGCTGGCTAAATTACTAAATTCCTCCATTGCTCATTCGTGAGATCAGGAGGGGCCCTAAGCATGGAATCGATGGAGCGCAGGTTGAAACAAACCCTTCTCCACCCAGTCACCCAAGCCCTCCAGCCTAACCGAGCCACTTTAGCCCACCCTTGGCAAGCTGTTCGTATTTACAGCTTCTCTTACCATTCAGTCTATCGGCCAGTCAATCAGCAAACCCTATGCCAGATTCTAAAAGAATCAGAGGGTTCTACCTGCCTCCCCTCAAGGCCAGGGGACTGCGCCCTCCACATCTCTGAATCCCACATGGAATCTAGCTCAGTGCTCTGTGCATAAGGTACCACAGGGACTACTAAACATAGACTAAAAGAAAATAAATTCGTGTAACAGCATAATTGTCATCTCAGCCTGCATCCTCCGCATTCCTTCCTGCCTGCCAAACCCTCTACTGCTGCCTAGAAGGGCACCCCCCACACACACCCGACTCTGCCACTGGAAAATACCAAGCATCTCAGCACAGACCGAAATAGAGTTTCATGAGTAAAAACCAGAAGCTCTGAGATTAGAATATTCTGGGGGAATCCTCTTATTCGTCCTGTAACATTGAGTCTGTCGCTGGACCTGTGGCGCCCTCCATTACGTTATCAGCAGAATGATATTAATAGCAGCTCTTTCGTTGGGCTTTGTTGAATAAATGTTAACTGGGCTGCGTTGAGAGCACAGAATATGAGTTCTTGCTTGGCAAGTGAGATGCGCGCCCCTTTTATAAATGGCAGGTTAAGCGGAACCACGTCTATGACAATATTGACGGTGACACGCAAACGCTGGGTGGCTGTTCTGTGTCACTGGCCTGAATCGTAGCAACAACCCTCCAGCAGAGGCAGTTTATTCCAGGAGCGGGTCCTCCAGGGATCTGCAGACCCTGGAGTCTCGGCCCACGCCCAGCCCTCCGCCGGAACCCTAGCTTGCGTCCCTTGCCGCGTGACCCGCACCTCCAGACACATGGTGGGAACGTGAGGGGGCGGGACAGGACCGGCGCCACTGGGCCAATCGCCGGGCGGGAGACGTGCAGCCAATGACAAAGCTGCTTGAGGGCTCTGGGGGCGGAGCCACCGAGAGAAGCCGCGGCGTCATAGGTCACTGGGCGGGCTGT